GTGCAAGTTTTGACATGGCAAGACTGCTCTTACAGCGAAGGAGCAAAAAAATCCCAAATTGTTTTAATGCATCAGTGTGCCAAGTGCAGTTCTGGTCACGTGTCCACACGCTTATGGGAAAGAGCTCCCGTGATAATAAATGATCTCACTGGGAGAGAAGTGAATGTGTGAATGTGAGATACACATCAATGCTGTGTGCAGGTTTAGACAGACAGTGGCTTTTTAAGAAATCCCTCTGTTTCTGTGTGGGGGCTGGAAGTGCACACCCCAATTCTGCATAGGAAGAAGGATTTAGTAATGGCCTGATTTTAAAGCTTTTGTTATTTCTCTTTTGAGCAGGTCTAATCCAGCCCTCTGGTCCAGGCTTTTGGCTTCCTTTGGGGACTGCAGGCTGGGGCTTTTCATTGTTAGCTGAAACAGACATTTGGACGCTTTCCCTTCCTGGAGCACATTTGCTTTTAGTGCTTTTAATACTTGCTTTGTCCCAAACTCAAACTTGTCCTATTTTGTTTGCTGCCTTTTTTTTTTTCTTTTACCTTGATTCAGCAGTGGCAAAAGCCTGATGCCTGGGAGCAGTCAGTCTACAAAGTTCCTTTTCCTCTTTGACTAACCCTACTTCCTACTGTTTTGCAGATTAGTTTTTTCTTCCTGAGAGTTAAAACAATCCACAAAAGTCACATATGAGAGCTCCAAAGCCCAGCACACAGGACTTTTCTGCAAACTCTGCTGTCCATGTAAGGTAGCGTACCCCCTTTTCTAGCCACATCACCCAACTTTCCCTTGTATCCAACCACACTGTTTGTCTTGGGGAGTTTTTACAATAACCTACACACACACACACACACAGGCAGATGGTCCGAATTTTCTCAACCAGCTGAGGGTTGTCAGGACAGGGTCTCCATGTGGATGCCAAATGCAGCTGGTCCGCAGCTTCCTAACGGGTTATCTCAGCATGCAGAACTCTCACTCTGGACAAAGGGGAACAGAACTGTGAATCTCAGGGACCAGCAACCCACCTTGGGGCTCTGCTTGCCCCCTTGAGTACTGTAAGATCCTGGGCAGCAACAAGAATCCCTAGACTCCAGCTGCACAAATGAGTCGTTTGGATAAAGCGTGATGGGAATCCTGGTGGGATTTCCCTGATGGGAAAAGGCAAGATATGAACAGGATGAAAACAACTGTGGTTAGTAACCTGCAGCCATTCCAACCACCTGAAATCTCTGTGGCATGTGGAAGTCCATTTCCATGGGTTTTATTCAGTGAGAAGGAGGGCCCCAAAGCCCCCACTCAGAGGCTGCTGCTTAACAGCTAGGAGTAGGCACAGGGCTTCCATGTGCT